TCTCGAACCCGTGGGCTCAGGCAATTCACTCACCTCAGCCTCCCAAAGGCGCGGGATTACTGGCTGAGCCACCGAGCCCGGTTTCCCCTTACTTTTTTAAGTGAGAAAACTAAAGTTTTAAAAGTCTGAAGCAGTAAGTGACAAACCCAGGATTAGAACTTGGTTTTATAATTCTCAGTCCACATCTCGTTCCTACACTGTAAGTTACTCTGGTCTTACACTGTTCAATACATTAGCCATTAGCCATGTTTACCTACTTACATTTAAATTAATCATTTTAAATAAAAGTAAACATTTAGTACCTCAGTTGCACTAGCCAAGTTTCAAGTGCTCAATAGCCACATGTGACTAGTGGCTACTATATTGTACCATGTACATACAGGCAATATCCATAAGAAATTCCATCAGAAAATTTTGTGAGGCAGTGCTGCCCTAAACTCCAAGATAAATGAAAATGTTTGGGGAAATTCTATCCTTGTTTTTCCATTCCAGTTCTTAATGCATGTTAAAAAACTGACCATGAATCACACTGCCCACACCATCCCACATTATGCTTTTTCTTCTCCAAGGAGAAGAATCAGGAAATTTGAGATCACATGAAGACTAGGTACTCAGAGTATTATAGGGAGGGGCTGCCACTGAAGTGACCTGTGGCCTTGTAGGTCTCTTACTGACCTTTCACTTGTTGCTCTGGTCCCCGAGTGTGGCTGGCGACACTGGGCATGCTGACATTGTTCCTGTGGATGTACTTGAGAAACACCTCAGCATTCCGCCGTGCCAGGGTACAGGCCTGAGAGAGAAAAAGATATGAGGCTCCTATCCCAGCAGGTGTGTGGAATTCAAGACAGGGGAAATGGCATGCCCACCTTCCACTTATTAAGAGACTGGGGGCTTTGGGAATAATGAGGATTCTGAAGGAATCCAGAGAGAACAGAGCTCTGGAAATCACTTCTGGTTCATGGACACTCTAAATCCAGTTTAGGCACCTCACCCTTCTTAGCCTTCCTTTAGTCAAGTGAAGAATTACTCCCTGTGCCTCTACCTATTCCATCTCAGATAAAAATCAGGAATCAGCCATCCCTTGTCTACTCATATGTTGACTTGGCATTATTAATGTTCACTCTCATGTTGGTTTTCCTCTGCCTCCAGAGTGCCTCTTATATGACCACTGGTGCAAGCCCAGGGCACAAAAATCCACTTTAAAATTAGTTTGATTTAGACATGAACACGTAAGTTTGGTAAACACATCTAGTAACCAAACCTTCCAAATCTAAATGGAAATTACCAACATTTTTCAAACTTATTTGTCCAAGAAGTCTCCCTCACCCGAATAACACTAATAAACATCCTTTTTTTGGGAAATATCAATCTACATGAAGGACTAAGAGTTGCTATACTATTTCCTTTAAGACTCATATTGGCTGAGGGTAGTAGAGAGGGCAGATCACATTCTCCTTGTAGTACTGATGGATAGGACTGAGGCCCAGAGAGAGCAGGAGACAGGGAGTAATTCAGATCTGGAATCTAGGACTACTGACACAGTATTTCTAGTTTCTCTCAAGCCTATATGTTTTCTGAATTTCTCTAAAAGGCAGAATTTTTTCCCCCTGGTTGTAAAGTACTATATGCTAGTATACTAATTTTTAATTCATCATTTCAGAATAAAATTATCTTTAGATAAAATTGCTAAATTTTACATTGGGCATGGTGGTTCATGCCCAGTGTAAAATGCCAGCACTTTGGGAGGCTGAGGCAGAATGCTTGAGGCCAGGAGTTTGGGACCAGCTTGGGCAAGACAGCGAGACCTCCACCTCTACACATTTTTAATTAGCCAGGCATGGTGGTACATGCCTGTAATCCCAGCTACTCAGGAGGCTGAGGTGGGAGGCTCACTTGAGCCTAGAAGTTCAAGGTTGCAGTAAGCTATAATCATTCCATTGTACTCCAGTCTGGGCAACAGAGTAAGACCCTGTCTCTAAAAAAAAAAAGTTAAAATTTAAAACCTTGCTGTACTTAGTTTCTGATCCTACAGATTGTATAATTAAAATTTATTATATCATTAATATAAATATGGCTATAAAATTTTATAGTTTTCTGGTTATATAAAAAATTAGCAACAAAAGCATCTGGGATCTCTGGTAACAGCCTGCTGGTGAGTCTGTGAACTCAGAGGCTCATAAATATGGTGGTCTAAAGCTAGGGAACCTCAAATGTATAAACTAACAATTACAAATAAAAAGCTCAATATTCTATCTGTTGAGCATGTAATTTCCATGGTGATAGGGAGTTTCTTACTATGGTTTTAGCAATATATGGAAAACATCAGACCAGAGGGTTTTGTTTTTTCTTCTTCAAAATAAACATTTTCTTTTAACTTTATGAAGTATCTTTATAGAGCTATTGAAAAAACGTTAATGCTCTACTTAAATTGTTTTGGTTTAGCCTTTGTTTTTTAATAGGGTAGACTTTAAAAATCACTGTCAGCCCTGTGCAGAAGAATTTCTATTTAATCTTATTAGTAAGAGCTGATTACTAAGGGCTCTGACCAACAGAGGTGCAGCTACCAGATAGTTAGGAGGAGGTCAGGCAGAGGCCAGTTTAAAAAAAGAATAAAAATAAAGCTCAAAAAGGAGGTCAAGTTGAGAAAAATTCCTATTAAAAGAAAGGCAGTTAATTACAGAATTGAATAAAATCAATGGCAACATGTTAGGGTATAAAAATTCTCTTTTGTACTCTCAGAAACCTGAGAGGGAGCAGAACATAAAAGTCAGAGATTTGAGAGCAAATGGAGCCTTTAGATGAGCTTGACACAGAAGACTCTGTCAGCAAGAAGATCAAAGTCTGGGGAAGGAGTCTCCTGAGGATTGCCCACACCAGTCGAAAGTCTGTGCAGAGCTGGACTATGCATCCTCCCTAGAAAGCCAGGCCTCTACCAAAAAAGCCCCAAACAAGGCATTTCTCTCGTTCTTTTTTTTTTTTGAGTTGGAGTCTCACTCTGTTGCCCAGGCTGGAGCGCAGTAGCACACTCATGGTTACCCCAGTGTCGACCTGTTGGGCTCAGGCGATCCTTCCGCCTCAGTCTTCCATGTAGCTGGAACTACAGGTATATGTTAACATGCTCAGCTAATTTTTTTTTGATTTATTGTAGAGATGAGGTCTTGCCATGTTGCCCAGACTGGTCTCAAATCTGTAGGCTCAGGTAATCCCCTCACCTCGGTCTCCCAAAGTTCTGGGATTACAGGCTTGAGCCACCATGCCCAGTCACAATTCTCTCTTAATAAAGAAGAATAAACAGTGTTACGTATATTGGTAACTGATAATTGCTAGATTGAAAAATAGTGTCTAAATTTATTTCTTTAATTCTTGTCCTAAATTTGGCATCATTAATTTCAAAAAGGTTTATTTTAACAATGTTAAAATATATAATGATGCCTTATATCTTTCAATCAAAAAATAGTTTTATACACCAAACAACTGAGTGAAAGCATGTATTCTTCTCTATTAACAATAACCATGGGATATCAGGATATTCGAACATGGCAGCAGTAGTAATGGTATATCCTAATTAACTATACAAACAAGTGCTAAGAGAGAAACGAATGTTGTGAGCGTAACCTTTCAACCTTTCAAATTAACCAGTCAACAATCTTCTCTACAATCCTTTCTCCCCTGTAGAGAAGAGGTTAGAAAAAACAGGAGCATAGGAAGCCCATATGAAGTATGAAGTTATGACGTTCTGGAAGTTCTGAAGCTGTGTATGTGTGTGTGTTTGTGTGTGTGTGTGTGTGTGTGTGTGTGTGTGTGTGTGTGTGTGTGAGAGAGAGAGAGAGAGAGAATAAAGCGGAAGTCTGAGCTTTGCATGACAACATGCTCTGACCTTAAGAAAGGCCTCCTTTTGTTCCAAATGTTTGCTGATGAGTGGAATGACATGGTCGATCTCTGCTGCTGGCCCCAGTTTATCTCGTCCACCACACCAGTCCTCATCTCTCCGGTATTCTTGCTCTAAGCTTTCCAGGACACTACATACCTATTGAATCATAAAATAAAAGACTTAGTATATTAATCGATCAGAAAGTATTCCTTGAGGTCCTTCAGCCTACAGAGTCCTATGCAAGTGATATTTTTCATTCAAAGTTCAGTTCATTCAAAGTTCAGTTTGCAGATTTTAGAGTATGCAGTACCCCTGGGAGCTCTAAGAGAAGTTCAGGAGGCAGAGAGTTCTGTGTCTGAAACTCAGGAGACATTATGACTAGAGAAATTTTGGAATCATCTTATAGGGGTTGATGACATTACCTAGGAATAATATATAGAGTAAGAAAGGAAGAAAAACTAGTATTTTGAGGGGTTCAAGGTGTTTTAAAGTATATTATATTGTTATAACCTTACAAAAACTCTGTTAATTAGGTAGAACAGAAAATGAGGTTTGGAGAAGATACCTGATTTGCCTAATCATTTGTACTTGTCCCATTGTAAGTAGTCTCAAGCAGAGGTAAAGGAGAAATTTGCCTAAGTTGCATGATTTATGGACCACACATGAATGTCATCTTTCCACTTCCCTGGGGGAAAATGTCTCAAAGTCCTACCATAAGGCAGTAACATTTCCAGGCCCTCTTTTACAAAATGTACATTTCCTTCAGAAAGTTAATGAATTTGGGTTAACCTAAAAGATAGCTATGAAGCTTTTCTTTTCTAAAAATGCTGAAGGATCATACTATGATCTTATAAATGAACTCAGAAGAGAGCAGAAGCATTTTGAAAGGGGTTTGGAGGAAAAGTTAGGTAGAACAACAGAGTGGGAAACCTAAGTAAGGCAGTCTAGTATTGGGACCCAGGAGAGGATTTAGAAAATAGAAACTCATATTCCTATACAGTTGACCCTTTGTAGCTGTGGGTTTTACATCAATGGATTTAACCAACCATGTATAAAAAATATTTGGAAAAAAATACAACAATAAAAATTAATACAAATAAAAACAATGAGGTATAACAACTGTATATATTTATATATTATTTACATTGTATTAGGTATTATAAGTAACCTAGAGATGATTTAAAGTATAGGGAAGAATGTATGTAGGTTATATGTCAGTACTCTGTCATTTTATATCAGGGACTTGAGCATCTAAAGAGTTTGGTATCTGCAGAGGGTCCTAGAACTAATACCCTATGGGATGTCAAGGGATGACTGGACTTTCTTTCCATAGACTTTGATTACTTGCTTAGATATAGCACCAGGAGAAAGCAGGTAGATCTATCCTTGATCTCCTCTGAGAAAGTCATTTCTTAATAAAATATGTTTTTGGATAGGACATTCATTGAGTTACGAATGGGCTGAAAGATGATCTGAAATCTGTCCCAGGTAGAATTTGCTTCCTATATCATGTGAAGGTCTGTCCCTGAGCTCTAGGTGACTTCTCTAGTCACATTTCTAGCACCACAATTCTATACAAGGCATGAAAGCATGCAAGCAGGCTCTCGTCTTGAGATAAAACAGAGTATTTGAGATTTGTCACATGACTGAATTGGACTTCGAACCAAACAGTTTGAGAGTTGAAAGAAATGAAAAGATTATTAAGTATAAATTCTTTAATTTAACAGGTGAGGAAACAGAAATCCAGAGGGGTAAAGTAACCATTGACAAGGTCATTTCAGGGTTAAATTTCCTGACTCAATCCAGTATTCTGTCCCCTTCACCATCTTGATCCATCTTAAATTAAAACTTGTATATGATATTAGACAGAGACTAAACCATATTTTTCCATATTCAGCTATCCAACACCCTTTGTTGAAAGGACTTTACTCATTGAAGTGCTTTGTCAAAAACTGCCTGAGGATCTACTTTTACTACCTTTATTCTTCTTCATTGTGCTTCTTACACCAATACCATTCTGTCTTGTGCTGTGCAGTTTTAGAATATGTTTTTAAATTGAGTAGAGTAACTCCTCCAACTTCTTTCTTCCTTTTCAAGATTGTTTTGGGTATTCTAGGTTGGTTCTTTGCATTTTACTTCCATTGAAATTTAGAATCAACATATCAACTTCTACAAAATAAAGCTTGCTGGGACTTGATTGGGATTGTGTTGTATCTACAGATCAACTGGGGAAGCTCTTTATCATCTTAGTCTGCTGCTCCCCACCTTTGTGGCCATCAAAGGCATCATTCCTCTGAAACAACAGAAAGAAGTACTGAGAGAAGGTATGGAGTCCATGACACTAGCTGCAGGGCCTTCTGATGGGTTATATTTGCACCGAGGCAGACTTTCCTATGGTCCCTCTAAATCACCCAGAGGAGAATGATTATCTGATCTAATTCTACCAGGGAATGATTCAAATGAGGAAACTATTTTACAGTGAATAAAATTACTCCTGTTTTAAACCTCTGTTTCAAGAAAATAATTCCATCACAGTACCCAAATATTTTTAAAAATCTGTACATATTGCTGTACAGATGCAATGGTAACATCTTTATTGCCCTGCTGTTTGATCTCCTGCCTTTTCTCCCATAGCAGCAACATCTTACCAGTTAGGCTCCTGGTTCATCAATGATAAAGAACTGTGCTTCCTCCATTAGCCTAGGAGCCCCATGAATGAAAGAGCCGTATGTTGTTCAAGCAGTGCATAATATCTGATTATGGTATTCAGCAAATATTCATTCTCCTCTTCCAGTCTTCACAGGAGGTATTGCTGCCTCATTGATGTTGGCTTGGCCATGTGATTTGTTTTGGCCAACGAAAATGTTAGAGAATATGAAACAAGCAAAGACCTGAAATGCATTTGCACAGTAGATTTTGAGCTCCTGAAACTCCCACCTTTAACTTTAAATGTGCCTCAGATAGCTTCTGGTCAAGGAGGACAAGAGATTTCGGAACATATCTAGGCCAAATCTGTAGCTTAGAGTCTAGTTCTACTAAGCGTGATCAAGATCAATTGAACCTCAGATACTTAAAAATAAATACTTACTATTTTATTATTTTTCATTTTGGAGGGACTGGTTCTTTATTTTAAAAAGACACTTGTCAATATACAGCATCGAAACAGATAATGCTATAGGTTTATCTTTCTCTTAATTGGCCTGGAAGAGACCATACTAAAGCCAATAAGCTGCAGGATATACACCTTAGAGACCTCATAGAAACCTTACCAAAAAGTGGGGACTGGGTATGGAAAGAAACTTCAAAGATCAGCACACTGCCACCCCACAAGTTACAGAGCTTTCACGGCCAGATGTGGTGGCCCGAAACCCAAAGAAACCAAAGTTTCAAAATAATATAAAATGTAAAAAGTTTTGTACATAAATTCTGCAAGATTTCCCCAACACTGGCTGATACAAAAGCACAACGAGATGGCACTTTTAGAAACAGAGCTTCAGACCCAGAAAAGGGTAATGAGATGCCATTCATATGGCTAAATCAGTGGCAAAATCAATTGAGAAGGCAGTAAACATAGGTCAAAAATTTGATCTTAGAGATCTCACCATCTTAATTTGGTCACTTCTAATGAAAAAAAAAATATTGCATAGTAAACAGATTTAAATCCTTTTCTATAAATTAAAAAAATCCATTTCTATGGGGGAAAACATGTTAATAGAAACAAGAGTACAGTACCAATTTATAAAAGACAAATTACATAGATGCTTATTACCATTTTATTGAGGGTCTTTTACATGGGTATTGGAGTAGAGTAAATATCCCATGTATGCTTAGCCTAGAAACACCTAGCATTTGGGTAGACACTTGTCAATTAAGATTAAGAACATTCGGTTATGTGAGAAAATAATATATGGGCATCAGATGAATACTTTTTCTAGCTTATCAGAAATCCGGACCACATGTTCATAACTGGTATTCCAAATAGAACTAATCAGCTTCCCATTTTAGTAACGTAGAAGGAATTATAATTTTCTGAACAGTAGTATTGACAATGAATCAATCTGGTGCCAAACATAGGAACTTGATTGTGAAGAAGGAAAACATCACCACTTAATATTATAATGTGGTTAAGGTCATGTGTGAAGATGTGAGTGTTCATTAAGTTATCCTATATCTTTGTAAACATGCCACTGTTTACCAGTGCCTTCTGAAACACGTAGGTCATAATAAATATAGCATCAAAGCAAAAAGAAAAAAAAAAATATTGTCCAAAGATACCTTATAGCTGAAAACCTAAAAAGCACATTTTTGCTGTTTTGGCTAACTCTGGAATCACCCTTCTGGTTTGATTGATACTTTGTACAAGGCAACAAAGTTTCCCACAGGGGAGTCTTGCCCAGAGCTCTGTTTGGTTCTCAGTAAGGTAGGTCCATACTTTTTTGCCTCCTCCATGGAGAGGGCAATATACACTAAGCTGAAAAGTCCCCTTCCAAAAGCGAAAAAGGGATTAGATTGCTGCATCAGAAATGTGGAATTATTTGAAATGTTTTACAAATGGTTGCTATAAAACAACAAAAAAGGTAATTACCAAATGTGTACATCACAACACGCTTTTAAAGGCATTTTGCATTGTGCTCCCATTCCCTTAAATGTTGTTCCCAAAGGTGTTCATGCTGCTCAGTCTCTAGCTCAGCTGGAATTTCTGGGAAGAGGCAGAGATGGTTTGGTGGAAAAGACGTGGGGTATGGAACAGACAGCAGAAAGGAGAAAGCAGTCTTCTGGTTAAACATCAGCTCTCAGTTTAAAGGTCAGCTTCAGGCAGGCTGGCCTCAGGCTGAGTTGGGGCTGGATAGAGGAGCTGTGGCAGGGTGGGACTGGGGTGCTCTACACCTCATTCAGGTCAAGCAGAGTCTGGTCCTGCATCCTTTTCATACAGAAGGTGCTCCTCTTTGGTGCATTCCAGTTTATCTTTCTTTTTTTTTATTTTTTATTTTTTTGAGTTGGAGTCTCATTCTGTTGCCCAGACTGGAGTGCAGTGGCCACTCCCGGCCACCGCAGTCTCGACTTGCTGGGCTCCGGCGATCCTTCCGCCTCAGCCTTCCAAGTAGCCGGAATTACAGGTGTGAGCTACCATGCCCGGCTGATTTTTTGATTTATTGTAGAGATGAGGTCTTGCTGCCCAGGTGGGTCTCGAACCCGCGGGCTCAGGCAATCCACTCACCTCAGCCTCCCAAAGGTGCGGGATTACAGGCTGAGCCACCGAGACCGGCTGCAGTTTATCTTTCAAATCATCAATTGTCTTTTCCAGCTTGGCTATCGATCTCTCAGTAAACTCAGCACAGGTTTCTGTCTCCTTAGGTTTATTGGTAAGAATCTTGATCTCTTCCTCATATTTGTCTTCTTTTTGAGAGTACTTTTCTGTAGCAGTACTCAGACACTTTGGGCTCTGGTACACCAATCTGATCTGCTCATCCATCTCTTGCAATGGAACTCTGGCCAGCTCGGCTCATTTCTCTGTGAAAGCCAAGTCTCCTTCAATAATCACCAATTTATGATCTACCTTTTCATACTTCTGTCTGCCTATTCTGCAATGTGTTTAGCTTCTTTGAGATATATATTTCTATCTTTTCTTCATCTTTTAAGGCCTAATTTTCAATAGCCCTTGTAACTCTCTCACTCTCATCAGCAGCTTCCTCCACTTCTTCCAGCTTTTGCAGAGTAGTGGCCAGGCACTCCTGAGCACAGTCCAGCTCCTTTTGGACTGGCTGGATCCCATGGTTTAAGGAGACCATCTCAGCCTCAGCCTGCTCCCTGGCCTGCCTTTCTCTCTTTACCTCCTGCTGCAGGCATTTGCCTCTTTCCTCTGTGTCATCACCTCCTGCTGCAGAAGCTGGATTTTGCACTTCACCATCTCGATGGGGGTGACTCCAGCCATGGTGACCACCCACCTGCTGCTCATGTTCCCGTTCCTGCCTCCTCTGCTTGGCATTGCAGTCACTTCTGATCTACTTGTTATTTTATATCACTGAGTTTTAGGGTGGTTTGTTACTTAGCATTATTGTGCTAAAAGCTGACTCATTCACTGTTCAAAGCTAGCATTCAGTATATGCCCAATTTCTACTTCATCACCTCCATACAGACCTGAAGAGTTTGAGACATTGATGAGAAACAAATCACATGGTCCAGCACTCAGATGGAAAGGGTTATAAGGAAGCCAACTGTAGTGTTTCCACAAACCACTCTTCTATTCTCACAGGTTAGTACCGAGAAGACTGGCTTTCTATTGAAATGGGTACTATACATTTGCACAGTGAGGCAGAAAACAGTCCCCTATCCACCTCAGCCCCACTCGACCCACAGCCTTCGCCTCACCTGTTCAGAAGTTTTGTAAAAGGCCACAGAGGCATTGACCAATTTTAGCCGGTCTTCCATCTTCAGCATGAGCTGCTGCCAGTGGAGGGCCACCTTCTCAGCACATTCCCGGATGGCGTCAGCATCATAGTGGCCGGCCTGGAGCAGCGCCTCGGCTTTCTGCTGTACCTGCAGGGCGCTCTGGTGCGTCTTCTGCAAGGAAGTGGCATGAAAGAGGGACTGGGCACAAGGGGAGGAGAGAGAGGTCCGTGGGAACAACCCAGGCGTGGTATGGGAGGGGGTGGAGTGAGGCGTGAGTGGAAAGATGCAGAGAAGTTAAAGAGCTTTAAATGACTGATCCATTTTGTCATGACGATTAATACATTATTGTTTTTAAAACATAGTTTTTAAAAAGAATATCATACATTTTTGCTAATCTCAGGACCCTGACTCCTGCCCACATTCCTTTTACTTGTATCATTCTAGACTTTAAGGACATTTCTGTGATAGAGAAACAGAAGTTGTGCATCAATCTGCTCTCTCATGGGTTCATAAAATAGTTATACTTCCTTTACAAACCTAATTGTAAAATTGTCCATCCTTGAGTTTTCAAAGGAGGTTACTATTGCAGTCCCATTTTACAGATAAATATAGCACATTAAAAAAAACCAATCTCCATGTCATACAAATCACAGCTAACAGTGAAATAATTTCAAACACTAGTAGTCAGTTGAAAAGGATTTCAGTCAAAGGAATAAGCTTGGTGGGTTAATATAGTTAAAGACTAACCTCTCACATCAGCCCTTAACTACTTTACCAAGGAGCAGAGCAGTGCACCACAACATCTAATCCTTACATTATTTGCATATCACTTTAGGAGAGAGCATATTTGTAGAAGATTTATTTTCCTGATGCTTTCTGAGTCAGGTTAAATGTGATTTGTGTTCTCTGAGTTCACATTAACTGTAGGAGGTAGGGAGAAATGTGGTGGCAGGGAGAGATCCAAATGGAATTAAAATGTAGCAAGAAAAAGTACAGATGAAGATGGCCCATATGAGAATGTTAAGAGTCCCACTGATTTGAAAGAGCTAATATCATCCCAATCTTGACTAGTGGAATTGTTCCAGCCTAATGGTGTAGTACCAATCTGGACTTTGCACTTTTAGGAAAGTATAGCTCAGCTGGCAGTGAAAAGGGACAGCTAGAACCCAGTAACTTCCTCCAGAATTATTTTCTGCTCTTCTTTTTTTTTTTTTTTTGAGTTGGAGTCTCACTCTGTCACCCAGACTGGAGTGCAGTGACCGCTCCTGGCCACCTCAGCCTTGCCTGCTGGGCTCTGGCAATCCTTCTGCCTCAGCCTTCCAAGTAGCCGGAATTACAGGCGCGCGCTACCACTCCCGGCTAATTTTTTGATTTGTTGTAGAGATGAGGTCTCGCCAAGTTGCCCAGGTGGGTCTCGAACCCGCGGGCTCAGGCAATCCACTCACCTCAGCCTCCCAAAGATGCGGGATTACAGGCTGAGCCACCGAGCTGCCCTTCTTTTTGGGCAGCAATTCTGGGACAGTTCCCATGAGTGAATATATTCAGCACTCCCTTGCTCATTTCCACCTGAACTTTGCCTGATTCCCACCACATTGACCCTTCACCTTCATCCCAGACTACAGTCTACAAATGTCTATTTTCCCTGGTCTCTCCCTGACCTTTCGACTTCTCTTGACTTTTTCCTGAATCTGTTCTTAGTGTTAGCTATGTTAGCCTGACCTCTTCTAGCAGCCTAGATTCCTCTATTCCCTTGCTTTCTCACTGAGTCAGCTCTTCATTCTGATGACTGTATCAGCCCTCAGGTTCCTAATTGGTGAACACAGAGAGATAAAGTAAGCCAGTAGGCAGAAACGATTTACTACAAATCCCTGGGTTTCTCTCTCTGTTTTACTTATTGGCACCATTTTCTTTTCCTGTCTCCTAAATGTAGAGGTACCAAGGTCAGTTCCTGTTTACTATTCACTTCTGCAGAGCTCTCATCTATTCCCTTGGCTTCTATTATCTTCTCTCTGCAGATGACTTTCCAGTCTACATCTCTTGTCTAACATCTGACCCTTCTCTCTAATTGCCTTCAGGTACAAGGGTGAGTTGTTTGCATACCTCTTACCCTAGTGAACAGCACTGATTTAGTTTATCTAGCTGTCTGTCCCATGTTAGTCTGCTACAAAGATACACTTTCAGTAAAAATGTCTTTTCTAGAGAGAGGAGGGGCCCACATCAGTGAATGGGAAGGGCTTTACTGCTATATAAAAGTCTCTACCTCCTACCAGATAACTCTAGTTCCATGGCTGAAACTAAACTTCTCAGTCTCTTTAAAATGGGTTTCCCATGGTAACTGCCACTTCTGTTGGTCCTTCCTTCTCCCTGCCATCTAAGATTGCAATCTTGACATCATTCTCACCTGCTGTTCCCCACTTCCCAATCCCAGTCCAGACATCATTGATTCATACATAGACTTTTCTTTCATTTCTAGTCCATCAAATTCATCCTTTACATTTCTAACAGATTCATTTAATTCTCTATAAAAGAAAGTGATTGTATTAGGTGAGTTCTAACATCCTTTCCAGCTCTAAAACTCATTTTATGCCATGACTGTCACTTCCTTCTCTCAATTAAAGCCTTCAGTGATTTCCCAATTGCTAGGAAATTAAGTCCAAACTTTGGAGGCTGTCATTAAAACCCCTTTATCACAATGTGGTCCCAAACTACTTCTATAACATTGTCATCTACTACATCCTTAAAAAACCCTTCGAAAACACATCATGCAGTTCTTGCTTTTGCTGCCTTCATTCTTCCTGCCTTTAATGAATGCTTCCAGTCTCTCCCCATCTATGTTTTAGGGTCTATCCTCCTTCAAGGAGGACCTTTTGGACAGCCTGAGACTCACTGAATACTACCCTCTTCTGAAGTCCTATGTCACTAATCTAACACTTGACTGATTTTCCTGAGTGAGACTGTGAGACTCTTGAGCCAAGGGCAGTTTGAAAAATAATTTAAATAACTGTCATTTATCCAAGGGTATACTCTGTGTTGGGAACTGTGCTTATCCATATATTTTCTAGTTCTCCTAACACTACCACAAGGTGAATATTATTCCCATTTCACAGATTAAGGAAATGAGGCTCAGCTGGCTAAGTGATTTGCTCACAAATATACAACCAAAGAAGTGACAAAGCCAGGAATAAGACTCAGATTTGACCTTTTCCCAAACCTATATTCATTCTACTATATCACACCACATCATTTTATATCTAGCAATTAAACAGTATCTTATAGTACTTCATTCAGAGAAAGGGTTTACCAAATGAACATTAGTGATTATGATAATTATCTGGCCTCTTCTCATCTCAATATATGAAACCAGCATATAATAACTATCATAAACCTGTTATTATGTCTTTTTCTCTAAGAATGAAGTAGTAAGCTTGATTTTGCTATAATTTATACTATGTAATAAATTATCTTTCTTACTTTAAAACTCATTATTATTATCTAATAGTCCTGGGAGCACCTTCCTCCTTTAATTTTCTAAATGATAAATTCTTGTCCATGTGATATAATCTTTGTTTGCTAAGCTTAAATCATTATTTTGCATTTATTTATACTCTCCATTATCTAATCCTATTGGGTGCTATATCTCTGAGACACAGATTATCAAGGACATTAATATTTAGTAGGAGTATACAGAAGAAAATGGAACTGAATCAGTTGAATTTATTATCCAGTTTTAACTACTTCTTCTGGCATAACACTTATCCTTAAAATGTACAAGAGGATTTCAACAGAAACAGATTTTGAAATTTAGCTTGTCTCTACAAAGTTCATAGTTCCCGAAGATACATCAGTCACCTCTTGGATAATAATATAGGTTTGCTTGATAAAGCTAAATGTCTTCTAGGTGCTGTGTACTGCCTTCTATTCTGAGTGGCTCTGGGGAAGTTTTCCTGAAACCGTGACTACTTTAGTTAAAAATCTGGACCTTCCATGAGAAGACCAAAACCTTCAACCTGATGAAGTCACCCAAAGTAGGGTTAGCAGACATCCTAGTTTGTCTGACTGTTCCAGTATATGCCTATTTTTCTGGTTTAGTTATTAATAATTCACTCCTCTACTCATTTAAATAATGAATTATATAATCATTCTACCGATTGCTATTTTATTTTCCCTTATGGAACTCAGAGCTCTTTCGTAGGGTCTAAGTAGTCAAATTGTGCTTCCCACCAGCAGTCACTGTCAATACCTCCAGTAACACTGTCAAAATGGCTTAGGACAAACCAGACTACTTTCACTATCTTTAAAATTGCTTCAATTCTACCTGGCATATTTTCCTCTTGATGCAGAATCTAGTCTAAACTGAGAGAAGACCAAGCCACCTGGAGAAGGAGCATATGTTGAAATTCTGGTTCTGTTCCTCTCATTGCTACTCTAGCCATGCTGCAGACTCTGCCCACCTTCCAGTCCCAAGATAGTCTGGAAATCCATCTGCTCCGCCATGCCCTATAGAGACCATAGACACCTAGGAGTGGCCTATGTATCTGAATCAATTCCAAGAATATTTATTCAAGTTGTACCTATAGAAACCCAGACCTGATTAGGAGATGCTTATGAGGCCAGGCGCAGTAGCTCAAGCCTGTAATCCCAGCACTTTGGGAGGCCAAGTGAGGGGACTGCCAGAGCCCATGGGTTCTAGAACAGCCTGGACAGCTTGGCGAGACCTCATCTCTATAATAATAATTTAAAAAATTAGTTGGGTGTGGTAGTGCATGCCTGTCATTCCAGCTACTTGGAAGGCTAAGGTGGAAGGATCACCTGAGCCCAGCAGGTCGATACTGGGGTGGCTGTGAGCATGCCACTGCAATCCAGCCTGGGTGATGGGGTGAGATTCTAATTAAAAAAAAAAAAGGAGATGCTTGTGCTTGGTGAGCCTCTATTATATAGGGATGAAAAGGCATCTGATACAAATTAATAGATATTGCATATGCAGCCATGTGGAATTTAGTCATTTCAATAGCCCTATGAATATATTTACCCACTCTTTCCCACAAACTCATTGAAATGCTAGAACATGTTATAACACTTGGTCTTACCTGTCCAGTATTTGATTAAGGAACTGGACATTTAATCGTTTGACAGGGTATGTAAACTTCTCATTCAAGATAAATAATGAGGAAGTGTGGCCAAGAGCTGTTTTCTTTCTGCCTAGTATCACTCATAACTTTGTGCCATGCCTCCAGTCTGACTGTCCAACTTTCATTTTCTTCATTGTTGTCTATGACTATGGGAACTTTATACCATTGTGTATCTGATTCTTGATTATAACCCCAATCCTGATTTCTCCTTTATAGTGAATAGTCCTTAACACTATGATATGTGCGTATGTCACTAAACTGCAATAGAGAGAGCTGATGATAATAAAACTTATCTCCTCTGGTTAGTTTCTCTTTAGAAAATGAATTGTTCATACTGTGTGTCCAATATACACTTTATTTTTAAATCTCAAATCCCAGACAAATTCTAGTACTAGTAATGGTTCCTAAGAAAATATCATGCATCTTAATACTATGTTTACATATCCAAGATGATTTCTAGGAAATTAAATGGCTGAATTTGATCAATGCTAGTTTAAAAATGGCTAGCAATCACTTGGTTACTGTATGAAAAATAAGCAGTAAAAATTTTATTATTTTGCCATCACTGTTGTGGAAAATTCTCATTAACAATCTTTTTTTTTTAGTAGAAGATAAACACTTTTGCATTGCTTACATACTCAGAAGTGGGTTGAACTCTACACTGAACTACAAGTTATGAGTAGCTTTGAAGCTTTCACATTTCTTTTCCCACTGGTATTGAACTTATTTTATTTTTTAATATAGTTCTCATGTCCCATTTCCTATTCTTTTTCCCATACCACTTTAAAGTAATCAGTTCAAGTCTCTTTGGGAAAGAGAATGTCCTAGTAAAGAGGATAATTAAAGGTACTTAAAGGAAGGCAAAACTTATATTAGATTACCATAAATGAAGTTTTATTTTTAAATAGCTTTTTTAAAAGTCCCTGTTGGTGAACTTCTTCTGGTTGCAGTTTATTTTTAAAATATGACTTTTGCCAGCATTACTGAACAACTACTTTCAGTGAGGTAAACTATCTGGTGCAATCTGCTCCGATGCTCATTATCCTTGTATTGACAATGACAACAGTATCTAAGTAAAATATGTAAGCCAAATGTTTAAAAACAGGATAATTTGCAAATGACTTTTGCGTGACATTTCCTTACATAGGACATAGGTCTAGAAGGTATTAAAAAACTCAATGTATCGGTAGCCTTAGAAGTTGAAGGTGCCAATAAGTAACAGAGATTCTCATTTACAGTGTGAATACTTGTCTTCTAATAGCGGGTCTCCTTTGGGGGAGGGATGAGCCCCTGTAATTACTTCCCTATCAATTCCTGAGTAATAGGGAGGTTACCTGGGCCATTCCACTAGATAGAGTAAGGGCCTCCCCACCTGAAGAAATGCCCACACCTCACGGAATCACCTTGCCTGAGGCACAAAACAGAAAGGAGAAGAGAGGACAGTGCAGTCAGATTTGGGTGTTACCTCGATGGCCAGTTGGAACTGCTCGTGTTCCCGCTGCAGCTGCTCTGCTTCGGACAAAGAGCTGGCATTGACCAGGCTGGCATTGAGCATTGACTCTCCATTGCGGATCCATCCCAGAACCTAGGGAGTTAGGAAGAGCACAGTAGTAAATGGTTTTCTGCAGCTTCCCCAGAGTTACTGCCTTCTCTGATGGGTACTTGAGTCAGAGCATTTGCTATCTTTTATCCAGACAGGAAGGGTCTAAATAACTGAAATGGGTGTCTCTTCAATCTTGCTTTGCACCCTGTGCCAGAAGGTATTTATTTCAGGTATCAACTTCATTCCCAGCTCCGGGTCTTATCTCTTCTCCTCATCACGCTGTCTTAATTTCCTCACCCACTTAATCTGGTTGTACAGTATTTATGTCTGTTTTTATGTCTAAAGTTTCTTCTGGAAGATTGGATGGTATAAATAAATAAATTCCATCTGTGGGTATCTTTTTTCTGTTTGATAAGGCGCAGTTCAAGTAACAATAATTTATTAAACTCTTTCGTACCTAATCACTCCTGCCAGAAACAATCTCTTCCTCACTGAGTGCAACCATATCATTGTATATGCACCACCTTTAAGGCATTCACCACAGACTGCCTGGTTCAGTTATTTCAACTTATGTTTTTATCTCCCCTTAACACATAAGGTTCCTGAAGTCTGGGAAAATATATTAGCCATATTTTATTTTATTATTATCTTTTGAGTCAGAATCTTATTCTGTTGCCCAGGCTGGGGTGCAGTGGCACCATCACAGCTCACTGCAGCCTCAACCTCCTAGGCTCAGGTGATCCTTCTGCTTCAGCTTCCCAAGTAGCTGGAACTACAGGTCCACAGCACCATGCCTGGCTAATTTTTTTTTTTTTTTAAGAGATGAGGTCTTCCTATGCTGCCTGGGTGGTCTCAAATTCCTTGGCTCAAGCAATCTTCCCACCTTGGCCTCCCAAAGTACTGGGATTACAGATGTGAGTCACCTCACCTGGCTACTAGTCATATTTTAATCTCACATGGCACTTGGCATATAATTGGGAAGGTAATGTTTTCAAAATAATGGTCACACCTGAACAGTGGGTCACACCTGAACAGTGGGTCCAACTTCATATACCTTGAAAAGTAGCAAAGAATAGACAGGTTTGAGCTTTGGGAGGCAAACAACCCCAAAAAAGGAGAAAGAAGAAATAAAATAAGCAAAACAGCATGCATAATCCATATATTGGATCATCAAGAAAAGGGAGAAAAAGTTATAATGGACTTAAATTATTTAGAGGCTAAGGCTAGGCTCAATACAATTTCTATGTGACCTTAGTGAGGACTGGTGGAAAGAAAACTCAGCTAGTGAATATTAGGATAGAAGAAGAAACAGCTGACACTGTCTAGACAGCTCTAGCTGAAATGGAGATGTGGCAATTATCCAGCTAACTAGTCAGCACAAATAATCCAACTGGAAGAGTTAGGCTCTGAAAACCTACCTGGTGTCTGGTCACCAGAGCACTGTCAAATGTTTTCTTTATTAGGGAGTGTGAGAGTTTGCTTGGAGAGGAAATAAAAATTCTGAAATTTCAAGATCAGTATACCATCCGTTACTTCATGCCAAAGGAGAAGACACCACAATCTGTTTCAGAATTGCTTTCAGATTTTTCTCCCCTCAACTTCCTCAAATTGCACAATTAAAAAATACTAAGCCCAGTTTCCTGCTCCATAACTCTCATAGGCATCTCTCAAATTTCATCCCTGGGCAGAAAATGACTGATGCCTTATTGTGCATGATAACATTAGGGCATAAGTCCTGGTGAAGTTGGGCTATTTGGATTAAGATGTTCAGTCAAGGCCAGGCTGGCAGATTGTGGATGAGAAGCAATCTGTAAAGCAGTTAGTTGCAGGAAAGAGCGTTCGTGTGAAATCCCTGTTGCCATTGATGGACTGTGGTTGGCTGGCTAGAAGTGCCAATGATTTCAAAAGTTGCCTGTAAGTTTGGGCACATGCATTCATAGACTACATGCCCAAATGCTTCATCTCTTTGGGAAATGGAGCTCATAATGTCCCTCTGCTGTGATTCATTGCATTTTGTTTGGTTTGGAGATACATTTGAGGATATCAGAGAAGTAATTTCTCCATGTGCATCACAAATCAATGCTTGTGGGGCAATTTGACTCCCTTTGGGCCTCCTGAGTCTTGCTAGAATATTTTTTTTCCTCTAGCTTCAGCCAACAGGAAACATCAGTTATGGCCGCGGTGGTGGGAATCCCTATTTACCAGCTTTCTCATTTAGAAATATGATGGGTTTCAGTACCTACTTTTAAAATGCTATCATATCATATTCTTGTTCATTTTTGTTTCCTAAATATTGATAATAAAAACTTTCTGGGACTCTAGAGTGGGAGATTTGATTTTAAGAAGATAAAAATGCATATCCATGGCTTAACTCCAGGGTGGGACTGATCCCTATGAATGAGTCAGTCCTGGAAGTAAAACTAGCATAGGATAGAAATAGTATAACATTTGTAGTCAGAATATCTGGGCTTTGGTACTTACCTGGTAAAACCATTTAACCTCTCTAAACCTCAGTTTTCTTATCTGTAAAATAAGTATGATTGTACCTTCCCTTTCTGCATTACAGGGTTAATGCAGTGTACTATAAAAAGTAAAGTCTCATGACTATGATGGTTTTGGTGGGGCATTTTAGTTTGGAGTGAAGCTGGGTAATACTGAGATTGTTCATTTATACCTCTCCCAATGAGAAGAGAAAAAAATTAGGAATATTAAGTTTTGTTTCAGAATTAGTATGAGCTTATTGGCATATTTGGATGTGATATAGGTTCCTTAGTTGTTTTGTCATCATTGTTCTTTGTGTTCTGATCACTGACAACCCTTATAGGTATAATTTTCTATTATCGGTATCTTTTAGCTTCCTGGTTCATAAAACTGATTATTCTTCTCCAAGAATACAAATGTGTGAGAGTTAGTAGGAGAAATATCATAATTAAAATGTGAAGATGCTGGTTCTGCTAATCTAGCACTGTGTGACCTTGGAAACATCATTTAACCTTTCAAAGGCTCAGTTTTCTCATCTGTAAAATGTGAACATTTTCCTCGCCTAAAGCATAGGATAAAGATAAAATGATATAATTAATGCAAAAGTTTCTTTAAAACCATAAGATGAACATTTACAGTGATCAATCATTCTAGGCAACAATTTACCCAATAGGTTAGTGATCTTTAAAGGTCATTTCCAGTTCTAACATTCTACACTTCTTTCAAAATTCAAAGAGCATCCCTACATCCATAGGTCATTAGAGAAAATTAGTTATGTAGAAATGGAGGACTGAAAGAATATCACTGCTTGGAGATTGAAGAGCTAAGTCAATAATTCAGCCTAGTCCGAGCTTAGAGGAGGAACTGAAAATGGAGACCTATTTCTTCCTTAGGCCAAGGAAGCTCAGATAAGCCCAAGTCAGAAGAATGGATTTACATAACTGGATGGGGATGTCCACAAATGATGCTGCCATTTAAGTCTGGCAGGCTGGGCCTTGTAACCATGTAGCCTGGGGAAGCTGCCTGTAGATGGCTGTGTTCTCAAGACCATATCTGTAGTAAAGCTATAAGGATGTATTCATGGCTCTAAAGACTGCTACTATAGATGACTTGTCACAAGACACCACTGTTTCTGAAACTCTAGTCACAGCAAAAATAATCAGCTCCTCAGATGGTAGCAGGGAGCCTGTCATATTTCCAGTGTTCCTTAGTTCTGAAAACCCATGAACTGTGAGACTGTACATATTCATCCTTCATAGTTTTACAGACTGTGGCAATATGTCCTCTTAATTATCTCCATTTTAAAACAAAGGATGGCACTTACCCCTCTTTTGGATCTACTCCAATTCCTTTCTAACTTTTATATTCAGTCAACAGAACTGAACATAGCATTCTACACAGGAGTAAGAGGATAGGCTAATATTTTCTCCTTGTCTTGAATGACCATCTTGATCATATGCAAATTTTGACCAGCATTTGGTGCAAATAAGCAAATTAAGCCAATGTCTTTGGTAGTCAAATAAGTAAGACTTCTTTCCCCATAGCTTAGAGACATAACATTCTGTGAATCAATTTTATCTTATTTTCTGTTAAATGTACTGCTTTGCATACAGATGGACATTCATTCAGTTGTATGCTTTTAAGTAGGTTTTTAAAATTTTCCTGAACTATCTAATAAATGTGAGGTCACCTGCTGGTAGCAACCAGAGCATTCTGCAGGGTTTAGAGAGTAATTTGGCATCTGGGCAGTCTAGGAACCTGAACCATGGACTGTAACCAGGGGAGTGGTTTCCCCTCAAGGTCCACCATTTCTCTAACCTGAATTCTTGAAAATAATTTTCAGTCTAATGTCTGTGTCTTCCTTGCTTTTTAAAGCTTCAGTTTAATATACTTTTGGTAAAACTACACTTAAGGTAATAATGGCCACATTGTCAAATCTAAACATTTAATCTATGAATTCTAACAACATAGCTGTATCATAATACATTATTGTCTTCTCACTTTCTGTCCCCTTTAATGGCATTTCAATTAAAGTGTCCTTTTCCTTTTTTTTTCTTTTTTGAGACCATATTCAAAAGAGAAACTCTTAGACTAGTGTCTAAATTTAGCCTCACTGATCAATACTGACATCTAAATTAACTCCCCCTTTCCAAGTGTCAACAGCTTCCAAATCAATATTTCCTGCTCCACCAATTTCCATCAAATACAAACGCCTTCTCTGAAACTGGATCAGAGGACTCCCTAAAGAAAGGGCCTACACTGACAAGGAAAACAAGTCTGCCTAATGAGGCATGGTGGCTTAACCAAGCAGCAGTCCCTTTGCACCTTGAAGGGCCGCTGTGCTTTTCAAAGGCCTTTGTAGGTTTCCTAATTCTGATGTGAGCAATCTTGTACAATCTTGAAATATAATCCCATTGTGTGTCATTCTTGTAATGGTGGGGATAAGGACTTTTTCTACTCCCACATGTCTTCTAACTCATGAAATTATAAATGGAATGGGAATATGTATAGATATTAGACTCACCCTGGGCTATTTATATATAGACAATCTACTTCCCCATTCAACAAACTACTTATCATTATCCTAGTTCCCATCCTATATAGAACATGTACTTGGAGAATGAAAAACTCATTCCTATCTTAATATCAGCCAGGAAAAAGAAAATTAGGGAGTTGACTCTACTACTGATGCTGAGAAGAATAAAAAAAAAAAAACCAGGAACAAAATCAAAGTTATATATTTCGCTTGAAAGTAAAACAGGAATTATTTTCCTATTATCTGTTTTGTTCAAATGATCATTCCTGCCACATTCCACTGATGGCAACAACAAAGTATAAACATGAGCAGCAGAGGACTCTGATGACCCAACTGGAGCCCTGCTGACTTCAGGCTGGCGCCACACCCTCCATCAAGCCCAGGTCATGCCTGCTTCAGATGCTGTGCTTCTGAGACAAAGAAAACCTCAGACTGTGTCCCGCTGTAGGGTTTCTTTCTCTTCTCTTATTTTATTTTATTTAAAAAGTATGGTACATGTGGTACATGTGGTACATGTGATATTTTGATGCATGTATACAGAGTACAATGATCAAACCAGGGTAACTGGGATAACCTTCACCTCAAACATCTATCATTTCTTTGTGTTAGGAACATTCAAATTCCTTTCTTCTAGATATTTTGAAATATACAATAAATCATTGTAAACTATAGTCACCCTACTGTGCTATAGAACACTACACCTTATTACTATCTAATTGTAATTTTGTATCCATTAGCCAACTTCTCCCTATCCTCCTCTCCCTCCACCCTTCCCAACCTCTGGCAACTACTATTCTACTCTCTACTTTTATGAGATCCACTTTTCTTAGCTCCTACATATGAATGAGAACATGTGGTATTTGTCTTTCTATGCCTGGTTCATTTTACTTGACATACGGTTGGAGGGCTTCTTTCTATTTCTCCCAGAACCCCGTGGAAGGAGGAGGGGCCATCTGCCCACTACTGTAGGAGCTTAGACTTGGGAGGCCTGGGCTTAAGTTTCATCTAACTAGTCAAGAGGCCCCAGAGAGCACTAATCTATAGTACCTCAGTTTCCTCATTTGTAAAGTAAGCAAAACACTACTTTTTCCCATGGACTTGTTCCATAAATGAGAAAGTATTTCTCATATGAAAAGAAAGTACAATTATAACTGTGATGTGTTAGAATGTGTATACTCATTACTCTTCTGAGCCTGCTGGGATTTCCACCATGTCACCACAAATAATATTTCTCTCTAGGGACTCAGGTGTGATCCCAGTGTAACTAAGCAGAAAACACCCTGGATGGCAGCACTTCAATATGGCCTTGCTTGGGGCTCAGTGATTTAATCTGCTCTGATTTTTGGCAGATTTTTAGCATGGCATGTGTGGACTCTAGCTGGGCACTGATTGGAAGAGAAGGAGAGTGGAAAAGATTATTTTGCCCATTATAATAAGTAACAATATAATAGCACCTATAATAATAATAAGACATAGGAATTAGCAAGGAATATCCCTGATTATAAGGGACCAAGCAATAAACAAAATACGATTCTGGCCCTTGTGCTAAATTAATAGACTTAACTCTAAAAACTCTAGTATAGTGAATTTATGGTTTTCTGAAGAAAACAAACAAGCAAACAAACAAACAAATAAATACTCCAGCAGTCACTTACACAAGAAAAAATTATTATAAAGCAAAATATGCTCCTCTGCCTAGGTTGATTGGACAGGACAGAGATTAGAGGAAACAAGGGCCTAGGATTGCTTGGCAGAGTGTGGAGTGGAAAGGGGCAAACACCTGTCCTCCTGGGACGCCCTCCCGGGAAACCCTCTCAGCCCCGTGGAGGTGGTGATGTGCTCTCTCCTCAGTGTGACCATTGTCTGGTGATCTCCCTATGCTTTGGTGGCCTCATCTATAAAACATCAATAATGTCTACTTCTGATAATGGTTATGAGGATTGATGGGGATGGGTGTAACAGGATCACAACACGCAATAAATGGAACTATTATTATACTTTTACTTCTTCAACTCCCCTTTGTCCAAATAGATAATTATATAAATTACTGCTTAGTCTGTTCATAAGTACTATTTTTAAAATGCGACATGGGTCATTGTATGTATATTCCTTGAGGTTCCTAGAGATCTGGATATGTTCTATGAAATGCCTAGCACAATACCTCATGCAGATACGAATTATTTTCTTTTTCAAATTGACCTTAATATGGCAAGAAAGTTTTCTTATAATAACCACACACACTGGAAATAATGATGGTGATTGCTACTACTTATTGACCATTAATCATGTGTCAAGCACTATACTAGGCATACAGGTGCCCCAAATTAATTAACCTGGCACTAAAGCCGGAACATGCTTATTGATAAAAAGATTTGTGTCTCCCATGGACTGCCTGACAGAATTGAGGACAGAAAGAAAGAGAATAGATTCAGTGACTGAGGACAACTTGGGAAAGCTCTGGAATGGATTGTTATGTGAGAAATAATGCATTCGTAGTTTGAGACATCATGCTACTAGCTCTATTTCTTATAGCAGACAAGCTTTCAGAAACTAGCAGAACTAGTCCTTAACTTACCTATTTCCTAAGGTCTACTACTTAAAGGGGCACACCTGTGACTCTGCATGCCTTACCCCACAGCAGGAGCAGGTTCCAGGCCAGGCTCAGCTGGCTGAAAAGCCCAGGCTGAAGGTAGAAGGGCCAGGCTCACCTGTTTGACCTCCGCTTGGAGGTGCCGCAGTTGGAGGCACTGCTCTAGTCGTTTATGGGTCTGCTCTGCATTAAGTTCCAATTCATGCTGCTTCTCATGGAGAAACTCCAGTAGCTCTTGCACCTGGGCTGCCAGATCAATGTCTTTTTCACAGATCAACTCGATTCCTGATTTTTTTAAAAAAGTAAGTAGTTAAAATCCAGGTAGTACTGTGAAGTCTACATTTCCTTCAATAAGCATAAGAAAACTGGAATTTGGAAATAGCCATCATTAGCATCTACTCAATCTCTACATATTCTTCTGTGAAATTGGAGATCACCATATGGATCCTTGTTTGGGATGCTCAAACCATACTGTCTCTTTTGTATTAATTGATCCTTTGGAAGTTACTTTTCAACAGATGATCAACTCCTTATTATCAACTAGAATTAGAGAGAGAAGTAGTTCTCTGGAAGTTCATACCTAGACAAGATAGCAATCAGCAATTCCTGCTGGGAGATTTGCTAACACCCAGAATATTCAAAACAAGTCATGATCATGCTGGAAGATATAAAACTAAACCGGAAAGATTCTGTCTCTAGAACTTCTGCCAAAGACACACTTTCTTTTAGCTGGTCAGATGTAATATATCAGTAGATGGTAAGTCCACTCTGAGGAGAGCAGCTGGACAGTGGTGATTTTTATTAGTCAACTACTCAAGTTCCCTGAAAGGCAACTCTTAGAAATATATGTTAGCTCTCATACATTATTTATCAAACACAGACAAATACACCGAATAAACATGCCCCAGCAATACCACAGGAATGCTGAGTGCTTATCCATTTAGAAAAACCTTCATGTTAAAGTTGTGTCCATACAAGGAGAGTTTGCTCATCATTTTTCTACTGATTCACAGCAATTAGTGTAGTCACTGACAAGTGTTCTCAGTGTTTATGGATAAACCACCCAACCTAATAAACTGCCAACCATCTGACCTATAAAGAAAGCCTGAGTCAATATCTGCCAGCCAGAAGTTGTGAATCCTTTCCTTGTCTACCTCATTGTCTCATTTTTTCTATATATTTCTCCTTATTCACAAGCACAGATGCGCACACATACTTTTCCTCTTCACCCTGCCAGACCCTATTTATATACTATCACCAGCAGGCCCAAGATAGTCTTCCTCAAGTGATTTTTGCTTCAGAAAGGGCCATTAACAAACTGAGACAGAGCAAGGGAACTGCCTCAGTTATTGAAGTCTTTCTCTTTGCTAGTGACTTGAATTTGATTCCTTACTTAGCTCTCAAAGACTACAGGGAAAGTACACTAGCTGTAGAAAGGTTCTAAGACGGAATTCTGATCTTGGCCAAGTTACCCAAGCTCTTAGAAACTTCATTTTCATCATATATAAAATGGGATTTTATACATCTACCCACCTCACAAGCTATGTACTTCCTAAACTCATTGGACTAAATGAGATGATGCATGTAAGGTATCTGTCATATATGCATATAAATATATTTATGGTGTGAATATTGTGTGTGATGTACTCACAATAAATACAGATCACTGCTCCTTAGTCCTGTTACTTTCCTGGTTCCTAACTCTTACCTTAAACTTTCAACTTTCTGCCTTGCTTGCATTCCTGCTCTCTTGGTACTTGTCTTTGACTTGATGCAAGTTGTGACCTGTGTTGTTTCTTGGATCTGATTGTCTATTTCTGCTTGGTTCTTGCTCAGATCCTTAGCTTTAGGAAAATCCTAACTCCGGATTGCTTGTCTATTATGAGCCCTGAGTCCACCTATCTCTGCAGTTTCTTAGTTCTGTACGAATTCTTTTCCTGGTTCCTCATCCTGTGATCTATGACCCAGTACAGTTGTGGTTCTAATAATGACATCTTGTTGGTTGCGACCCTGCCAAATAACAGGGTTGCAACCAATAATGGGGTTCAGACTCAAAAGCTCAGCAGATAAGTCACCAAAGGGTAGTGTATGTCCATGAGGAATCAAACCCAAAGGAACTCTCTAATCTCAACATATGACCAGCTAAAAAATAAATCCCCTTTGGGAGACTTCCTCATCACTCTGACTCACACCATCAGAAATTCATCACCACTACCACCAACACACCTGTGGCATCTAGTTGGGAGAGTATAAGGAAAGTCTGTCCATGCTAAGGAAAATTCATTTCTGGAGGCAAAAATAGGGTTTTATATAAGGACAATATGGGAGGGTGGGAACATCTTTTTTTCTGGTGTTACATGGTAATAATTTCAGTATCTTTTCATGTTTATTTTTTTCTGTCAGTTTCATAATTCCAAGTCCCAACTCCTGAAATATCTGTGGGAGACAGAGAAAAGAACGGCTTGTTCTTTTGGCAGCCAACTCCCTCTTGTTACTATTTTCAATTACCAAGAGGATGAGGTAGACCATCTCCTTGACTGAAATAAAAAAATAAAAATACAAAAATTTCTACCTCTACAGTGCTTGGCCCAGTGGGATGACCCCTGACCCCTATGTTTACTTTCTGGAAATGTAATTTAAAGATCCAACTGCAGAAATAGAAGCTCTTCCTCACTTCCAGTCACACTGTGGATTTGTTTATAGCTCATTTTCATTCTGCACGTGTCTCTAGTGCTCAGGACGCTGGGTTTAGGCAAAGTGTCTTTCTGTGTGATCCTCATGGCTCAAGCCCTGCCACATCACATGTAAATGGGCTCTCTAAGTCTGGTAACTTATCAAAGAGGCCAGCCACCTGCTTAGGATATTAGCCAGGGCAAGCTCCCACCTGCTCCACACGTGGGCCCTGAATTTTCATCCATCTCATTTGGTACTGTTTTATGTGAGATAAACACAGGAAATAAAATGGATAAAGACAATAATTATTGCATCTCTGCACTCCTCAACAACACATTTTGTTGCAGATGGTGTAATTGGGAGGAACATGAAGACTTACTCTTGCCACACCTAGAATAGAAACTACCCCTCTCTCTCCCACTTCCCCAGACATACTGATGTGAGTTCCAGTTCAAATCCATCAACTGGCAAGTATCTATCAACTAGTAGCAAGTAGAGTTTGTGTGTGCTGACATTATTGCTCTCGATCTAATGATACACCCATCTATCTTTCTTAGGGACTCTCAGAAATGCAAAGACATATTTGTTCTTCCCACCAAGTAGTGGAATATATTTTTAATAAAACTTTGCTGGCTTCTTTAAAAAAAGTAATATTGAGGTTTCTTTCTGAAGTATCCCCATAACGTCCACTGCCCAGCTCCCCTTTAGAACACTTCCATTGAGGTAGGTTCTTTATTAACTTGTCCATGTTCTCACAGGAACACAGGCTCCCTGACGCCAGGGCCACACCAGTCTTATTCATCTCTGCCTCTTCAGGTTCTAACATATCATCCAACACACATTTGCTCAATGAGTAAATGGGCCTCTTAAGGGAAGAGCTGAGGTTATGTGCTGTGGTGGAAAGTACATAAGAGATTTGGGGGAAAGACAGGCTTAGGTATGCTCTCCAACCTATTAATGGTGAGACTCTGGGTTCCTTACCCTCTCTTAGCCTGGGTTTCCTTGTCTGTAAAATGGAATCCCAACACTGACTTCTTAGGAATGTTGTGAGAACTAAGTGAGATACAGTATATACAGAGCCTGGCCTCTAGTGGGCTCAAAATATTCATTATCCCACTTTTTCCTTTACCTTGCAGAAATTATGATGAATACTTTTTTTGTTTTTTGGGTTTTTTTTTGAGTCAGGGTCTCACTCTGTTGCCCAGGCTGAAATGCAGTGGCATGATCACGACTTACCACATCAGCCTCCTGAGTAGCCACCACACCTAGCTAATATTTTTGTTTGTTTGTTTGTTTTTAGAGATGTCTTGCTATGTTGCCTAGGTTGGCCTCAAACTCCTGGGCTCAAGCCATCCTCCTACCTTGGCCTCTCAAAGTGCTGGGATTACAGGCATGAGCCATTGTGTCCAGCAGTAAACAATTTTTGATTTCTGATGGAACTATTGAATGGTTTCTATGAAATGTAAATATAAACTCTTACTGACAAGTGCTTATGTACTTACTCAATGTATATCACTGAAAATTATGAAGGTTTGAATGTTATTAGACTAATGCTCTTGACCCTGGTTCACATTAGAGTCATCTGGAGAACTTTTTAAAAATCACCTTGTCCTGACCACACCCTAGACCAAAAGCTTCAGAATCTTTGTGGCTAGGATCCAGCATCAGTAAATCTTTTTTTTTTTTTGAGTTGGAGTCTCACTCTGTCATCCAGACTGGAGTGCAGTGGCTGCTTCCGGCCACCGCAGCCTCGACCTGCTGGGCTCCGGCGATCCTTCCGCCTCAGCCTTCCAAGTAGCCGGAATTACAGGCATGCGCTACCACGCCCGGCTGATTTTTTGATTTATTGTTAGAGATGAGGTTTCGCTGCCCAGGTGGGTCTCGAACCCGCGGGCTCAGGCAATCCACTCACCTCAGCCTCCCAAAGGCACGGGATTACAGGCTGAGCCACTGAGCCCGGCTAACATCAGTAAATCTTAAAGCTCCTGAGGTGATTTCAGCATGCAACTAAGATTATGGACCACAGGATAAGATGGTTCAATGGCCAGCAACCTGGGAAAACAAAGGTATTCCTAACGCTATAATAAGTTACCAGAATGCTCTACATTGGTGTTTATTCAGGGCTAACAGTCACAGCTAATAATGTTAGTTGCTTTTCTTTGTTGCCAGGTGGGGGGTACCACTTTACTTTTCTAAAGGAGAGAAGTGGCTATGGTCTAGGGTAAGATTTAGGAATTTCTGGCTATTCTGCCCATAACTTGTAACATGTCTTTTTAAAAAAAAATTGTGTGCTCTTTAAATACCTGTGTCTGCCTCAGATAGAGAATATTTTCTTTTCTTTTTTCTCCTCCCTTCCCAGCTCCTTTCTGTGTCACGCCCTCTATGTAACATCCGATTCAGAAATTACAAAGTTTTTAAATCAGGTTTTTAGATCAGAGTTCTTAGCTCTAGCTATACCTTAAAATCACCTGGGAAGTTTAAAAAAAAATCTGGGCCCACTCCAGACCAATTAACTATGACTCCCCGAGGGTAGGACCCAGACACTGGTATTTTTAAGAAGTTCCCTAGGTGATTCTCAATATGCAGCCAGGTTGAGAACCATTGTTTTACAT